AAACTCCCTTCAAAGAATGAATGTGTGCATGCTTCCCTCCTGGACTGGTTCAGGAGGGGTGGGGAGCAACAGCAGGAGCTGCTCCTCACCTCTTTCCCAAACTGGGGACTATCACCTGGGTGGTGGGAGCAGCAGTAGCAAGGCCAGGAACTGGTCTTTGAGAAGCTCTCCCTGATATTTGTTCCCAGCCCTGCTAACTTCCCCTTGCTGCTCCTGCCACTGAACTGTGCAGTGGGGGTGGCAGTTTCAAAGCCGGGAATTGGGCTTGAGGAAGCTCTCCCTGAGCCTGCTTCCCCCTACCCCCAGCTTCACATTGCTGCATCTGCCACCTGCAGCAAGGTTGGTAAGGGGAAGCTGGCCAGGCTTGGAACTGGGACCAAGGAAGCTCTCCTGAGGCACCAGGGTAATGTTTTCCATACTTGTCCAGAACAGAGACTCCCTCACTTGCTCCACTTCCCTCCGTGACTGGTCTGACAGAGGTTAAGGGAGAGGATTTTCACTCATTCAGCTTTTAACATCTATAGTTTTTTTGCCTTTGAATTCCTTATTAAGTCAAACAGGATGCAGATTATATTGCAGTGTACATTCTGGTCACTTAGGGAATTATATGTATATAACCTAATTATATCAAATAAATGTGCAATCACAGTAAAAAGGTTAAAGTTGTATTATATTTGTGTGACAAAAACCCATTTAACTTTATGGTTTATAAGCTTTTATTAAGATTTATGAGACCTTACATAAAGCATAATGCCATCATTATTCTACAAGGCACCATTTAAAAATATGTCATGGGAAAAAAGTTCAAAAAGGTGACTGTGTTTTTCAGTTAGCAGTACATAGAAATCTGACCTAAAAAGCACTAACAAAAAAGTCATATATTTTGTTTATAATTTGAAAATACTATTCAGAGTTTAGTCCTACAATAAAATACTAGTGAGCCACGTGTAATTAAGAACAGGAAATATGAAAAGGCAGTATTTACTGAAGTACTTAAAAATTCAGCTGTTAAAACAGGAATTACAGGAATTCTAGCTAGAATTTTCTTTAAAATGTTTTGGGTTAAGTAGTGTTTTGGACTTAAAGGTGTTTAAATTTCCTACGTGTGGTTAATTTATAATGATAGGTCTGGCTAAGAAGTGAATTCCACTACGCTTACACAATTTATAGAAGTATGTAAGTTATAATGGGAGTTTTTCACACCAAACTTTCCCAACAAAAGACATTGAAACACATCCATCTTTACACAGCCATTGCACTAGATCAACTGAAAATATAGTTTTATTCGTGCATGGTCCTGTACTCTTCAAGTGGACAGAACTTACACTAACCTGAGCACTGCCAACATGCAGTGAGCCTAACTAAAGTAAATGAGATACAGCTTATCCTGAAAACCTGAATTATCATTTTATTTGTGAATACCATATAGCTAAGCATATGATCTTCCAGAGCCCCTCTGCCAAGATATTCTATTAAACTTTAGAAGTCAGACATAGACCTATGGTAGACTGGTGCAAATGAAGTAAATGTTGCTATAACTATTAAGCATTTAATGAATATTGATTAATTAAAAATCATGGCTAACTGATGTTTGTGAGTATTTCCAGGGCGGGCCATATTCTCCTCTTCAGTGGCCTCTTGGGTTTCCAAACCTGTTGTGAAAAGGATACATTCTTACAGTCTGAGGGTCCCAGTGTACAGCACAGTAAACATTATAGTGGCCAAGTGTGAAGAATTGGGATTGATTAAAAAAAACACACTTTAAAGTCCTCACTGTGTGTTGGCCTTAATTTTAATGTGTTCCAATGAGAGTGTGGCATTTCTGAAAGATGGCTGGTGGCAACCCTTAAAGAAGACAGCAAGCAGGTGTCAACATTTCCACGCCATAACGCTGGTGGGCCTAGGGCACAGATTTTGTATCCTGCTTGACTAAATTCCCATATTTTACAAAACCCATTTCCAAAATATTTTGGTTTCATTGTGAAATAGGTGGAATAAAATGAAATTACATAAAGAAATGGCATGATCCTGTTAGCTCCTCTACAGAAGAAAAGATCCTGCGATCAAAGCCTGGCATGGCAATCTGAATTTACTTTGGGGCTTCACAATAACCTCTGTCTCTAAGTCAAGTCTTCTTTAGCCCTACAAAGAAGGCCCTGCCTGGCTTCTGCCTCTGTGCATATGTCAGGTTTTATGACACTCACAGTAGATAGAAGTACCATATTTATATAGAACAAAAGCTGCATGGTATTAGTCTAAAGCCATTAGGCTCATGATTCACCATATAGTTAATTGGGCTGACCCCCAGCAGAGTCAACAGAATTTCAAGCCATGGTGACCCCACAGCTCAGCACTGCTTAGTATGTGGGTCTATTCCAATATCCCTCACAAAGGATTCAAGTGCTAATTAGCCCCCACTCATGACAGGTACCAGGTTACTGTTTTCATGAGTCCTGGGATCCTCCAAAACGTTATATGCAGATGAGGCATGGGGCAACCTGACCCGGCTTCATGCTCATGGAAGGCATGGCCACACTAATCATATGCAATAGGTTCTACAGAGTTCCAGAGCAAGTATGGGCTACAGAATGAAAGCCCAGCGACTGTGTCCAACCCTGTTGTTATGATGTTACGACTATGTTCAACCTTGGCATTATGAACATTACCATGACAGCCCAGCAACTATGTCCAAACTTGGCGTTATGTATGTTACCATTCTCTAATTCTGCAGCCCATGCTGCAAAGTGAGGATTTCAGAATTCAAATTCAGATATACTATGAAGGGATGTGGAGAGGAGATATCATTTTTAAAGCTGTAGAACTCTACAGGATTTAACAGAGTAACCTATTTCTTTTTCACAAAAGGGAAAAAAATCACACTTTAAAAAAGAACCAGATGTGTTTCAGTCCCTGGTGCCTTGTAGTGGTTGAGATACCGCATTTAGACAAATCTTATCTAAATGATGCAAGCCATAATTTTAGCCATAATGAAAAATTATGCATCTTCATACCATGCTTATTTGGTTTAGCCATTCTTTCACTCTGATCTTTCAGTGAGGCATCTTCTGTGATTTCAAATCCGTGGTAGGTAGAAAATGGCAAAACATAGTTATGTGGAGAAAATAAACTATCAGAACCTTAGTCTCAACAGAATTAAAAATGAAATACTACTCCTGCCAAGTACAAGTACTAGTTTAGGGTTCAGGGGCTTGCTTCTGTCAAGAATAACAAAAAATTATCAGTGCCTATAGGTGCTGTACAGCCTAATGAGCAAAGAAGTCTTTTCACTGGTAGACTACCACCTGTGATAAGAAACCTGGTGCATTTCTCTGGAAATGCTATGGTGTAGTGATTTTTCCTTCTTGTTAATATGACTCTGAAAATTTCTTTTAAATTAGATGTACAAGTACTATTTACTATTGAGATGGACTCGTGAGAGATGGAAACTAAGAAAAAGTGAATAAAGACAGATTGGAAAGAGAGATTACAATGTTTCAAAAAATAAAAGAATTATAGAGTTTATATTTTAAGTACTATATTTGGCTTTCTTAAAATAATTTAAAATACGAATGGAACATCTGCCTGATTGTAAATATCTGCAGATGTGTGTTTCAGTCCACAATTTGTCTTAGCCAAGGATCTCTGCATGTGTGAATTCTGGACTGTGGAATAAAGAGATACTATCAAGATACAAGATATCACAATATACTATAAAAATGGGGAGACGCTTGCAGACAAAGCAGATGCCTTTTGTAGTTTAATGCCATGACAAACAGAACACTTGAAAAATAGCAGCTAGACAAGGACCATATTGTGTAGTGAAATCCTTAGAAGCCCTGGAGAATGGGAAGCAAAAGGGGGCTGTAGGGAAGCAAAAGCTGGTTTAATGTAGGCTTCTCTGTAACCCAGAATTGTTGGAGTACACAGTGCTCCAGTCTTGAACATGCCTATTTCTGATCCCATGTCAGTACCTGGCGCTGAGAGAGAGGAGCTCAGAGTCACAACCATTGCCCTAAGTTGCTTCTATACCAGAGGAATTTTCCATGGGTTACAGAGCAATGGCTGGAACTAGAATCTGACTTAAAGAATAGTACTCTGATAGCCAGCTAGAAAATAGGGTGGAGGTGTGCAAGTGAGATCAGTGCAGGACACTTCCATCATATGAAAGCTGTGACAAATTATGTAATTACTGTAACAAAGAATGTCTCAGGTTAGAGCTACCTCATGTTGTCTGTTCATTGCAGTTACATGCATTGAAAACCCCATAAAAAACCCCTGTCACAAAACCCCCTAGTCTTGAGCTAAACTTTTGCTTTCTGAAATTAGTGCAAAGCTAGGGTATCTTACCAAATGTGAGTAATCTTTGAAGCTACTACATTGTATTGATGCAGCTGATCTGCTTCATACTAGCTGTGTCACTGTGGGATTCCAGGAATTTCCAGTAGCTTTTCTGATTAAGTAAACTTAACAAAGTAGCTCTTTACAGCTAATAGAGCTACTTAATTTCTCTACTGCTTGTTTCTTTGAAAATTCTACTACGATCAAAGCTGAGGGCAAAACAAAAGTCTGTAGGGTAGCAAAAATATAGAGTGTAAAAGCCAACTGTGAAATGAGTAATTCTAGCAACACAGTGCAAGAAATGGTAGGAGGTTTAGTAGCAATACACTTAAGTAATGTAAACACATGGAGAAAAAGTAAGGATAAAATATTGTATGTGGCTATAACCATTCTATTTACCCACAGTTATTATGTCTGTAATGCTTTTCTAATATTCCTTTTTCCCTTTGGCCAAATGACATACATTTTGAGAGAAATTTGTTATGGTAGGATTAGGAGGTGGGAGGAATGGTGGTCCATAAAAGGATTTCTGAAGCAGTGGTCTACAGGCTCAAAAAAAAGGATATAAACCATTTATTTACCTGTAGTTGTTTAATAACATTATATTTTTACAGTGCCTGATATCCAGCATGAGTGGGTTTTTGTGTTCTTTTTCTTTGCAGATCCTTTTCATTGGTGATTCAACTAATAGAGGAATTATGTATTATCTGATAGAAAGAGTGAATGAGACACTTCAGGAATGGCAAAAGATGCATGATGTTAAAATTTATCATAATATAAATGAAGGGAAAACATTTATTAGCTACTCCTACTATCCCCAGTTTTGGCTCAGTGTGAAACAGAGACCAACGTTTGAAAAAGCACTTGAACAACTGCTCCAAAGGTACAGTGTCTGTTGTTGGTTGTTTGTATTCTCATTTAATCCACAAATGTGTTTAACAGATTTTCACAATTAAAATCAGTAAGTAATTAAACATAAGATATGTAGGCCACATTGTGTGGTTGAAAAGGAGTAGAAACTGACATCAGGCCCCTGATCAGGATGCCAGATACGGTTCACTGAAATGTAATGCAATGCTGTTAAAATGTTTGCCATCTGTTTTAAGGCAACATGTGTTGTTTTTTCTTCCTGGGTTTCAGATCACATCCCCTTGAGAACACAGACCAGACTGTGTTAGTCGTAGGTGGTGTTCAGTGGCTTAATTCCAATCATCTGCAAATTATCCAAAAGGTGTTGAAGAGGTAAAGTTTAGTGCTCTGTGTGTTGATATTATTCCATGTAAAATCTTGATACGATAAAAGTGTGTCAAATGCAGTTATTTAATTTGTTTTTACATTAGTGTGACTTATAAAAGAAATATTTTTGTAATGTCCCTCTAGATCTGTAAATGACATGTCCATGCCTTACTCTACTTGCTAAACAGGGAAAATCTATCAAATATCCTGGTAGTTATCAAATCTGTAGGAATGGGCTTTCATCTACCAGTGGATGGAATACATTCATTATCACAGGTAAGGCACAGATAGTTTTGACTGCAGTCACTAGATTAAAGGCACACCTGATTGGATAATGCCAGCTTTTAGCTTGCACTCATTTTTTGACTAAAGAATAGTAGAACGTTTCTTCCATTGCAAAGAACTCAGAAACACCACAAAAGGTCAAAAATGTTTTCTGACATTATAGATTCCTATTTGAAATTTCAGGGTTTATCTTCTGAAGCATGTGTGTATATTTGTAGACCAACCAATGCTTATTGCATGGCATCATGCTACACCCTTAAAAGGATTTCAAGGCATCCCAGGGTACTGAGGCATCCTGGTTAAGAATCACTTATTTAAACAATGATTTTGCTGCCTGTTTACAAAACATTCCCCTTTGCTAAGCAAGATTTAATAAGTCAAAGATAAATATGCATACTTTTTAATATAGTTTGCTGATAATGGCTTTAAAGCAATTATCCCTTATTTCACAGATTGCAATGTACTGCTCCAGGCTCTCTGCTAAATTTACTGTTTCAGCTAGAAGCACATACACCCTTATGCCAAGTACCAAGTTGTGAGGTTGGATGAGCGATAGACAGATCACTCCTTTCATTTGGATAGCTGAACCTTTCTTAAGCTCTTTGCAGCTGACTGGGTCAGATTCATCAATACACTCTAGCCATTTTTCAGTTTTGTCCATAAATTGAGTCTAACAAGCTAATTAAGCCGGAACGTTGCAAAGCAGCTGGAATGTATTGGTGATTCTGGACCATGATTTATGTTTATAGCACATTATAGTTATTTTAAGGGTGCAGGCAGAAGTGAACATTTCCACTTGATCTAGCCATAGAAAGCAGTTTATAGCCATGGCCAAACACAAGTGCACAGTGACAGACAGCTTAAAAAATGGCTGATCAGGTGAAAAATCTGACCCCTCATTGAATGAGGGATCAGATGAAGATGTTTCAAGACAGAGCCTATTCTGTAACTTCTGTCTTTGCTGCCTGCCAGCCTCAAACTATTTTCAAAATGGGAGGGAGGGTAGGGAGTGGAAGGAGTTCAGCCTGTGGGTTTCTGAGCCTCTGCTGGAGGGTGGGGCAGGTGTTTTAGAGGCCCCTCCCCAAGGTGAGGAGGACTCCAGTACACCCACCCCACCCTTCAGCGTTAACTGGGGAACCCTTAGAACCTCTCTGTTCCCTTTCCCCTCTCCTATTCTGAAACAGGCAGGCAGGGAGAGAGGAGGGGCCATTGCTAGGGGAAGCCAGCTGCAGGCTCCCACCCAGCAGCTAGATTCCCCTCCCCTGTGGAACAAACAGTGAACTTCTGTTTGTTCTAGGAGACCATTGTAACTCAGAACGCTTCCTGCAAAGTGTTCTCAGTTACAATGGGGAACTGCACTTCTGTCTGCACCATGTCAAAGACTTCAGGAGTAACAGATGGGCACATGTTAATGTGTTTTGTCCTGCAGAGGTCTGTCCTGCTAGTGTGATTCATTGTTTTCATTTCAGTGACTGAATATATAGTATACTTATAACACTTGAAGAAGACACCAAACTGGGAAGGGCTGCAAGTAGTTTGGGGGATGGGACTGAACTAGGAATAATCTTAATAAATTGTAGAAGTGATTTGGAAGCAATAAAATGAAATCCAATAAAGTTCTAAGTACTGCACTTGGAAAAGGAAAAAATTGTGTAGATATGCAAAATCTGTGTCCATTTCTGGGCATTGCACTTCAAGAGGGATGTGGATAACCTTGAGAGGGTCCAGAGGAGGGCTACTTGTATGGTTAAGGACCTGCAGGTAAGATCCTCCAAGGAGAGATTGAGGGACCTGAATCTCTTCAACCTCCGCAAAGTAAGGCTGAGAGGGGATCTTGTGGCCATCTACAAATTCATTTGGGGGTGGGGGTCAGGCAGCAAGGAATAGGGGATACTCTGTTTACCAGGGCACCCCTTGGGGTTACTAGGAACAGGAACAATGGCCATAAACTGATGGAGAACAGATTTAGAGTAAACATTAGGAAAAATTTCTCCTCGGTGAGGGTTGCCAAAATTTAGAATGGGCTTCCAAAGGAGGTGGTACTCTCCCCTACCTTGGAGGTCTTTAAGAGGAGACTAGACAAGCACCTAGCTGTGGTCATCTGGCCCCAGCACTCTTTCCTGCCCAAGGCAGGGGGTCGGACTCTATGATCTACTGAGGTCCCTTTTGACCCTGAAAATCTATGAAACCTGTGAAAATAACTGACTAGCCAGCAGAACTGCATAAAAGGATCTTGGGGGGTTTATAGTGAATTTCAAACTGATTATGAGTCAACAATATGAGGTTACTGCAAAATCCACATATGCTATTCTGGAATGTATTAAAAGAAGTGTTAGGTGTAAAAGATGGTAATTATTCCCTGTTGTCAACACTGGTGAAACTTCAGTTGGAGTGTGGTGTCCAGTTTTCGATACCCCACGTGAAGAAAGATGTGGACATATTGGAGCGAATCCTCAGAGGAAGCAACACAAATAAGACGTTAATAAAAGCATGAGCCATGAGAAAAGTTTGAAAAAATAGGTGTGTTTAGTCTAGGAAAGAGTAGGCTAAGTAAAAGGGAGTTAATGATAGTCTTTCAGTATGTAAAAGGTTGTTATAAAAGAAACATTATCAGTTGTTGCTGTGTCTCTAACCAGTAAACTACTGGGAAAAAAGGAGATGGGTCTTCTTTTTCTTTGAGTAAATATTCCCTGATCATGTGATTTGAATCCTGAGATGAAGGCATGGTAATGCAGAGTCAGGTTCTTCAGGAGTAGGAGGTACATACTTCTCTAACTAGCATTTCTGGTTAGCTGCCTGCAGAAATTGCTTGATCAGTAATGAGCAGACATAGAATCATAGAAGTCGGGTCAGAAGGGACCTTGTAGATCTTCAAGTCTGACCCCCTGCCTGGGCAGGAGAAAAACTGAGCTCAAATGACTCCAGCCAGGTAGGCGTCAAGCCTCTTCTTAAAGACCCCCAGGGTAGGAGCCAGCACCACTTCCCTTGGAAGTTGGTTCCAGCTCCTAGCCGCCCTAACTGTGAAGTAGTTCTTGCAGATGTCTAATCTAAACCTACTCTCCAATAATTTGTGTCCATTATTCCTTGTCATGCCAGGGGGCGCTAGGGGAAACAGTGTCTCCCCCAAA